TTCTCTTACTTATTGTATGCTTAAAAAGCACCATTTCTTTTTCCTACAGGGAGAGAAAAGGCTGTTCTTTCAGTTTTTATTTTTAATTTTGTTTAATATGGCTCCTTTTATTACTTTTTAAACATATTTTATTTTATTTTTATTTTAAGTAGGCCCTATGCCCAATGTAGGGCTTGAACTCACGGTCCTGAGATCAAGAGGCAGATGCTCCACTGACTGAGACAGCCAGCCACTTCTAGCTCCTTTTAAAGATCAATTTGCTGTAAATGCTTAATATCCATTTACTCAGTAAATATTTATTTTATATTTATCATCTGCCTATCATGTGCCATGTACTAGATTTGTTGCTGGGTATTCAGTGGTGATCAGAACAGAACTCATTCCTGCCTCTGCCTTCAGTAGAAGCTTCAGAGCTTCTACTTCAGTAGGGAAGAGAGACGTTTAGATGAACATACACAATATTATGTATATAAAATATATAAGTAACGTATATTTTATATATAAACATATATAAACAAAATGTAATAGCTAGGTGCAGTCAAAATAAGATTCCTAGCCTGCAAATGAGATGACAGATCCTGGAGCATAGTATGATCATTAGGATGATAAGGCCTCTTGGAGAAATCCACCAACATTTATCTAGCATATGTCCCTGCATTGATTTTCCTATTTTATTTAATTTCCATAAATACCCGCATCAAAAGTCAATGAGAAGATAGTAGGAAAGGAAAAATGAAGGGGGGGAAATCAGAGGGGGAGATGAACCATGAGAGACTATGGACTCTGAGAAACAAACTGAGGGATCTAGAGGGGAGGGGGGTGGGAGGATGGGTTAGCCCGGTGATGGGTATTAAAGAGGGCACGTATTGAATGGAGCACTGGGTGTTATACGCAAACAATGAATCATGGAACACTACATCAAAAACTAATGATGTAATGTATGGTGATTAATATAACATAATAAAATAAAATTTAAAAAAAAAAGGTCAATGAGAAGATCATATGATATAATGTGTGTACAGTGTCCAACACTGTTAGATAAATGTTGGTCTCCTATCTGTTCTTCGGCAAATTATTCCAATTCTAACTTTAAAAGAACGTTTCCCATCTACCTTAACAAATAATTGTTTGAGCAAGTACCAGAAGTGTGAAATTATGGTTGTAAGTGCAACGCAGAAGAAAGAAAAGAATGAGTCAAGTTCTTCTACCTAGAATAATAGGCAGTAGATCACTCCTATATGGAGCACGTACATACTTTCTTTTTGTTACAATTCTATTATGAGACAGTGGCAGGAATAAAGGCATACCACACATAGAAGGAAATCAATTCAACAGCGTTGAATGGAATGTCTGATAAACTGCAGTAAAGCAATTCTACTTATAACTTATGGTAAAATCTAGATTAAAACTTATTTGAAAATATGGAGGGAGTTTTTAATTTCCAGCTCATCATGTATTAAAAAACTGGAATCTATAAAAATGAAGAAAGATGTTGTATAGCTCTACTTCCACATTTTATGAATCTAACTGATGTTCTTTATACTAATAAAAATAAAAGAGTAATAAAAGAAAGGAGTTACTAAGCCAGTAAGTTATGCCACTATAATGAATGGCAATGGGGTATTTTGTTGGAGTTGAAGATCAATATGATTTATTACCAGATGCTCTACTGATAAAGCTGATAATGTAATAATCAGAGATGTGAAATTCACCTAGAGCTTCACATATGTTGTCATCTCTACTTATAAATTTAATTTATTGTAGCTTTATCTGATACACCACCTCCTCAATACAGGCAAACCTGATGGGACATTATTATTTAGTGTAACTTTTATGTTACTAAATTTCACGATAATACAAAATCTATAGAGCATACAAAATAGAAGAAACGCTCTGTTGCAAAAAATGAAATAGACTACATGAGATAAACTACTTTAAATGTCACACATTACTTTCGGTCTGTTATATCTACAACTCACTGTTCTTTTGTCAACGCACGGTGGTGTTTTGTTCTTTCCTATAATCAGGATTTGATCCACACACTTTTGTGTCCAGGATGATTGTGCTCCCACAGAGATCTTACTAACTCTCACACTCTCATCTCTCTCTCTAAACCCATGTCTCTGACTACCTAATGATTGCAGCTTTCTGCATCTTCAAATCAATCCAAGTCTGTCCTTTACAGTGACAACTGTCTTTTTTTCAAAACACCCTTTCTCAGCCAAACTCAGCCCCTTCCTTGCTCACTCTGGCCCTCTGTTGCTCTTACTTCTGTTGGGTTTCTCTTCTATCGCACTCCTTTCTATTCACTACTTCATGGATTTAACCACCAACTTTTATTTCATAGTATTAATTACTCCAAAATCTTTGCCTCAAGTTCTTGTCTTGCTCCAGGCTACTATGGTCTGTATTATTTTACCATCCCCTAAAAATCCCATTGGCACCTCAGGATTTCACACGTTTTGTTCACCACCATCTTCTTTCCCAATTTTTGTCCTGTCCTTCAGCCTCTTCTATCCTATCCAATGATAAAACCACCAATTCCCCATCCCTAATACTTGAAATTCTGACATCATCTTTGGTTCATTTTTCTCCATTAGTCCCTCATCTCACCAAATGCCAAATCCCATGAATTCTGTTCCTGTATTAACTACCATACCCACTTCTGCATCATCATTCCTACTGCTACTTAGCTCCTGCTCTTAGGACATCTCCCCTCCATCAACATGATAGCCACCTAAAGAGGCCTCAGCCTGGCAGTCTGTCCTTTTGCCAACCACTGGCACACAGCTGTCATATTAATTCTTGGAGATTCAGATGAAAACTCCTGTAATCGAATGCATTCCAAATAAAGACTTAGATCCTTATACCATACAAGGCCCTCCATGAATTGGCTCCAACCTACCCTTCCAGTTTTATCTTCCTGCACTCGCTCGGGTTCCAAAAGCCACATTGAGCTCCTGTTTGGTTGTGTCTTGCATTTCCATTCTTATTGCCAATGCTTCTGATATTCTATTCATTTTGAAAGCCCTTTCCTCATTTCTGCATTTCCATTCCCTGCCCATCCTTCAAGGCCTACCTCAGATGTTACTTTTTATATGAAGGCTTCGACGATGGAGGTATCACTTACTGAATTACTACTATTTACTAAACACATAAAGCTCTACGTGTGTTCTTTCATTTCAAATTAACAACAACCCTTAGGATCAGAGGAGGAGACAGTCTCACAGAGGATAAATAACTTGCCTACAGTCTCACAGATAGTGAATTGTAGGTGGACCTGTGGGTCTGACTAAAGCTTGCTGCCTTTGATTAACCACTGTAACTTGACCTCCACTTTACACCTCTGTTTAGCTACCTTGAACCTCATTTGTTCCTCTCTTACAAACATGTATTAATTTGTACCTCATTTCATAGCTTTTAATTTGCACGTCAAATTTGCTAGTCACTTGGAAAATCTCTGGAAAATTCATGCTGCCTTTTCTATAGTAAGGGTTTACTTAATAAATGCTCTTGCCTGAATAGATGAATATACTATTCCCCTATTTGAAAACTTACTATGTCTTTCTGCTATCTAGTTTATCGTATATTACAAATATTACATCTTCTGACTAAGACAGAAGTCCTTCAATAATCTGCGGCTTTAAAATTATATGGCTATGTCTTTTCTGAGGTATTATTTTCCATGATGCCCCAACATGCACCTGTTACTCTAATTAGGCTTGACTGTGCAATCTCTAAAACATAATGCTCCCCACCACCTCCGTCTTTCATTCCTGATGTTTCTCTTTTATGGAATGTCACCTGCCTCTTCCAAAACCATATATTATTCTTTTTCCAAAGATCAGCTAAAAAATACTTATAAATGCCTTTGATGAGCAAAACTAAAATTTTGATGATAATAAGATTATGTGCACACGTTATTTCATGTCTGTGTCAAACCTCCACAGATTCTAGAATCTTTACAGATTACACTGCAAAAGATCTTACACTGCAAAGCTCTAAGCATACTTTTAAACACCTATTAGATACTTTAAATAATGTTAATGGGTCTTGTGAATTAGTTGGTCTCATATAAAGCAAATTAAAGCAACGAACTGGCAAAAAACTAATAGTTTTCGAAAATAACTTAATTTTTGTGCCTACTCTGTAGACTTAAATGAAGTTAGGCTTATTTTATCATTTTAAACTAAAATGCCTCTAAAACAATAACATGATAGGTTGAAAGGTTAAGAGGTGCTGTCTTAGTTAATAGATATTGAAGTAAAGATTTTCCAATGCTTACTTCTCAAGGTGGAAAGAGCAGTTCATTTTACATCTTAAATGACCTTGTTTTACCCCCATGACTTATATTTGGCAAGAACAAATGCACACAGCAGCTGCATACAAAATAGAAATACTTTGTCAAGACAATTTAACTTTTGATAGAGATAGCCATTGGGTCACATAGGTTAACATGCTCACTAATTTAAAAATCTTATATATTCTGACTTTATAATTTTATCCTTTTTACACTTTGTGGTAGACTATACAATAGTTCCAACAAAATAGTGAAACTGCATTTAAAACGCGAGCTCTTGAGGAGGAGGTTATCTTGTTTCTATGATTTATTACCTCAGTTCAGTCCTTCTATTATTTCCTCACTAGAAGCTAAACATGGACAGGAGGAGCAGATCTATAGACCCAAATGGTCAGACTACATATACCTACTCTTATTTTTCCTAAATAGCCTGGTAACAGCTTCCCAAGGAAAGGGCAAGTACTATTTATCCTTCAAACACGTTCCTTTTCATTCTACCTATGTTAAGAGAAAGAAAGACCCTAGCCCCTCCAACAAGATATTTCATTAAGCAGAGTCAGGCTCAATGTAATTCTGAAAGGAATATTTGTCTAAACTGATTGATCCCATTGGCCTTCAAGAAACCTAGAAGCTCTAAAGAAAGTCAGGGTTTGGGTCACTGTGGAGGTGGAAAGATGAGAGGAAATTTCAGGGCACATACATTTCTGTGATGGTCTCTGGCAGATTCGTGGGGATCTCAGTGAGAGCTTTCCCACGACAGTCTACGATATTGTTGCTACACGTACAAGGAGCTGGACAGTGCAGAACACTGCAAGAAGGAGCCATAAAGGACTGGTGACCTGCAAGAGAAAGAGATGGCAATGATATTTTCCCTCCGAAACCGCAGATCGTGAAACACATGAGCTTATCTCAAACAACCAAAGCATGTTACTTAACACAGATATATTTCTCTAAATATCTGAGCATAAAATTGGTCCTGTAGTTCTAGGATATATTTTAGGCAGCATGCATTTATAGTTCTGGGCCAACACTCAGATGAAGCAAATGAGATTCTTAAAACTATGAAAATGATCATTTTTCAGAGTTGAAATAATTGTTAAGAAAGGCTAACCTCAGACCTGAAACTGGAATTTGATTCAAAACTATTCTGAGTTCCAAAAAAAGCAGCAGTTTCAGACTAACCTAGATTTCACTTCCGATACGCTTAAATAGAGTTCGGTTTTTATTAAACTTAAGTAGCATAACTTACTCTACCCTCAAAAAAAAGAAAGGAAAACAGTAACATTTTCCTCTTGGAGGGTATAACTGTTGATTCTAAGTAAGTAATCATGCACCAATAAATGAGGGGAAAATTAGATCTTGCTAATAAGTTGGATGTCTTGAGAGGTTCAACATTTGTGCTTTCTTTGAAGTTATTATAATAATTTGTAACATGCCATTCCGTAATTGTTAATCTAGACAGTTCTTTTATTCAGCTTCACATGGCCTACAACGTTAGCGTTAAGTAGTTACCTGCAGGCATATATTTTTACTACTCAGTATTCGGAAACAAAACTGTTTTGAAATGAGATTTCACTGTTGGGATGACGAACAACAGAATGTCGGCCGTGTTGTAGGAATGGGCATCTGCACACACTTGACTACTGGAGCAAGGGGACAGCCCTCTCTGATCTGCAGCAAGAGGGCCTGAGCGGTCGCGTAGGCCAGGGAGACGCTGCAGGCTCCTTACTAACCCAAGCCCTCTGAACAAGCTCTCAAACCTTACAAAAAATAGTCTCAGTCTAAAAAAGAAAGGTGAACTTGCCTTCTTCCTCATCTAGAAAACAGGAAGGGAAAAGTGAAGAGAGAAAAAAGTGGTTAGTAACGAACTGTTAGTCATTTCATTATTTAATTTTTTAAAAAAGCAATCAGACCTGAAGAGAACATTCCCATTCCATGACATTATAGGAAAATTTTGTCTGGGTTATAAAAAGTATGGAAAAATACATAAAAAGTTCTAAAAGACAACAATAAATCAGAATCCTCTTTAAGTACTTCTTCTTGTGCCTCCTTTAAGGGACAATTTTGATGCATTACGTATATTTAAAAATGTTGTGTTACTGTATTTTGAACAGACACTTCTGAAGCAAAGCCAGCCCTGTATTTATAAAATAAGATATATGTTAATATGTATCAGATACTATTAACATATTATTTTATAAATAAATATAAATATAAACATAAATATCAATATATATGCATTGGTAACCAGCCTGCCTAGGTTGAGATCCTTGGACTCAGCTATGCAATCTTGGACAAGGCTACTTAGCATCTTTTTCTCAGCGTTTTCATCTCTAGTATAAAGATAATATTACATTTCACTACAGTTGTGATGAGGGAGGTGAAATGAGGTACATATATGTGAAATACCTAGATAGAAAGAACTAAGTGAATGTGACTTCCTGATATTTTACATAGGTTATGTCTTATTTTTGTTTCCAGATTTTCATCACTAAAGCTAGTCATTTATCTTTTAGAAGTAGAGGTGAACCACTAGTATTCACGAAAAGTACTTTGCCACTCTGCAACTACAGTTGAGCTACTTTTTAAAAATTTCCCAGCAGCGATCCAGGATTAACCATATTTCCAATTGTTAACAGAAAAGCAGACGGACATTATTACTTAATGGGAAAATAAGCAGCAAACAGAATTAAAGTCTAGGAATTTCCTCAATTTCCCCAGGAGTAAAAATTTAGAAATCTTTCATCCTAACTTCAGAGGACTCTGTCCTTGCCAATCACGCACACACATCTTAGAACCTGTTCTCAATGGCGCCAAAACCGAGGACTCCCATGGAGTGATTAGTGCACAATTGCACACGTTAGTGAGCAACACGGAAACTCTGAGAGCATGCATTCTCCACAGTTCTCCGTAAAATAAGACGACAACATAAAGGTTCATTCTCCCTTACCACTGCAGACAAATTCGCGTTTTTGCACCTCAGCTACATTATGGCCCCGCAGGTGGGATGGGCCCATACACTGAGTGTAGAGACCAACCCGGGGCCTCTGGCGCAACCAGTCAGACAGCCAGGCCAGGTGGCAGTCGCAATACAGATTGTTCGAGTGCAGTCGACTAGAGAAGAAAAAGACAAGTTTAAAGCAAGAAAACAGAAGACGGTTACTTCAAAAATTGAAAAAGAAAGTCTTAATAATAATCTATAGCTTTATTTCTTAACATGTCAGTAGACAAAGCATAGGAAATCCCAACCTAATTAGTTTTCTAAAAATTAAACTGGTGTAAAACCACAGAATTGAATTTCTCTTCATTTACCTCTGAGCTAAGCCAACATCCAGGAGCTTGAACATGACCATAAGAATGGTTTCTCTATGTTCACTCAAAAGGGTAAGAAGAAAGAGAGATGTCCAAGGCGAATTGCTCTGCAGTCCCAATATACTGACAGCCAGTTGGGGTGGTGGGGGAAAGGAGAGGTAATAGGTAGGGCAGGGGTGGGGGCCTGTTAATAGAAGTTGTGGCTCCCAATATGAATTATCAGTTAGTCCTGCTGTTGTTGGTTTCTGGAGGAACTGCTTGCAAATTCTTTTTAGAGGGTCACTTTCGTTTTTTGCAGAACAAGATAGAATAATAATTCAATAAAAAACACTTCTTTCATGTCCCTATTCTGATTTCCTTCTTTTTGTTTAATAGCAGAAAAAAGGGATTAGCTGCTTTTGGCTCTTGGGACCCTATTCTCAAAGAGCAGGAACTGAAATGAAAAGACATAAATGGCTGGGAGTGAAGGAATTAAGTGAGCCCCCCTCTCTGTGTTGGCAGGGATCCACACCAGAGCATGGATCCATTCCAAGTGGCAAATAGCACTTTTCCATTAATAAAATATCAGACAAATGTATCCACTAAATTAGGTAAATGACTTCAAATTGGCTTTTATGTTTTCTCAAACTAAAGAAAAGGACATCCAAAGCTATAAATCAAAGCATCATTTCCAGAATCATCTATGACACAGTAATACCATTTTAGTCCTTTTTAGCTGATGTGCTCAATTCTAACCCAATAACAGTAATGGATATTAAAACATGGAACTCAGTCCAGAAAGATAATTGGACCATAAAAATGGAATTTTTAAGTAGCAATGATAATATAGAATAATGAAACAACCAAAGCAAGGGAATTTCAAGTTAGATGACTGTTTTACATTCTCCTTGAGCCTGAAGGTATGGAACAGACTGTCTTGCATCAAAACTTAAATGACGTGCCACCGAACAAAAAGCTACATTTTGCGAAAGCTGGGTCACCTCCAGCTCAGTTTGCTTGGAAGTTAGAGTGGCATCCTTTGGAAACCACATAGCACATGCCACCTCGTTGTTCTAGAAATATTTTCATCTGAACCAAGCACGTTACAATGATTCAATTCGGTGTGCCAAATCTGAAGTGAGAAAAGAACATAAAGCCTGATTAGCAAGACAAACTGTAATGGATTTCTATAGGAAAATAGGCACACTATCAGAAATGCAGATGATAGACACTTCCACATTCTTAGTGGCCTCGCTTTTGACACTAAAGAGGTTGTCCACTGTGTGTTTTCTAAAAAAAAAATTAGCTTAAAGTCAATGATTAAGAAATGAATTTCATCAAATATAGTCTGAGTGAACTGATCTATTCATTTGGAATTCAAATGGAATTTATGTTATACCTGCATACTTTCAGAATTCCTTTATTTTGTTAAATCTTATTCCAAGGAAAAGATAATGATGTGTTGTATCATACATAGAACATAAAATTTCGTGACAAAAAAAGAGGACATTTAGATTGGTATTACCCATTAAAAAGCTGGCAATTAAATGTTTTTTCATTAAAGAGAAAAAATAAATGTAATATGTTTCCAGTTATAAACTATAGTAAACTGAAAGTTATTTTGAAAACCCAAGCAGCACATATTTTTTTCAAGAAGCTCAATGCTTTGCTTATGTTTCCCACCATTTCCCACATGTTGTATATAACATATTTTTGAGGCCAGGGTGATTCTTAAACCCAGTTCAAACGAGATTTATCTCTGAAAATGCTTTAACTAACTATCCCCACCCTGGGCTTTAAAGTTAATTTTCCCCAAAAGAAAAAAAAAATAGCTGTAGCAAATGCTTTATTAGAGAACAAGTTTTTATTCACCTAAAATATTTTAATGTTCATCTCTTGAAAAGATATTTTTAAATATAAATGCTGCCACAACTTCGTTATAGAAGGACTGGAGGGTTATGCTGTAATTTTACATTACAAAGAATGTAGGAGATTCAGTTTAGCTTTATTAGGTCTGCTTGCTATACAGTAATAAAATCATAAAGATTTACCATTTATCATTTCTGACAGCCAATCAAGGAGTCTTACATTTCTTAATGAAATGTGACCTCCACAATAGCTCAAAGTAAACGTTCCCCCCCACCTTCCCATAATGTGTATCATTTAAAAGAAAGCTTTCATGTTTTCAGAATGATAGTTCATTTATTCAAATATCATATCTAGCACTTTTTTAAAAAAGTGGCATTTTCCTTCTCTACCCCATTATGAACTCATGAATCCTGTTCTTTGTTTACAAAAAATAGTACTTTAGAGGAACCCTTAATTGATTAAATTGACCTTTATATATATATTGTGGCTACTTACAAAGTCCTAAGTTTAGGCATATGGTTGAAACTTGCCACAGAAAGTCTAGTAATGTTGTTATTGTTGAGAGTGCTGTAGAATAAAAAAAAAGTTAGACATTTTAGATAATGAAAATTCATTGATCATTCTATCTAATAATATAGAGAAAACCCTTTGCAATTATGTTTATGCAGGACAACTATGTGGTAGAGACGGCATAAAGAATGCCCTATATTATAAGTAAGATGATAAATAAATGTTATACTTTAACACATTGCTATGCATTCAGCTCTATCAAATATTTATGGCAGATTTATGTCTTTAGCCATAATATCTTTGACTATTCACATGTTGCTTTATGCACCATGTGCATGAATGCATGTGTATTTATGACACTGCTTAAGGAATTAACACGAGGCAGTCAACAGTCAGTAAAATCAGACAGTTGCATTTCCTTAGAGAGGCACCGTGTGTAATTAGAGTCATGAGTAAATGAAGATATTCAAAATCTCCCAAAGAGTCCTGTTAAGTATTCTATACTGTGGACATTGGCTGCGTCACTGCTGAAATTTAAATAGCAAGAACGGTATCTGTATCTGGTATTTGCATTGCATAGGGATGAAGTGTCAGGCTGGAGCAGTTTATTAAAAGCTTAATACATTCTAACAGTTTCACATCCCAGGCACATATCTTGTCCTTTGCTTACTGTGGTGTGGTAGTGATCTCGGTTTCTTGATGCTGGAGTCAAGAAGATGGGTGGTCAAGGCAGAGATGGTGAAAAGAAGCATCATTCTTGCTTGGTTCAAATTGTTCTTATTTTTCCCCTAACACAGGCATTGTTTGTTGTATTTTTTTGGCTATTTCTACTACAACTACTACCCATTCATTCATCTAGTATTTCCTAAATGGCTCTTAATTTTAGGGCAACATGGAATGGTATAAAAATAAATCAGGCATAGTACCTGTCTTAAAATAGCATATAGCCCAACTGGGGAGATGAAGTACACAAATTATAAAAATTTAGAGTTAATGAGATTAAGAAGAGGTTGTTTTTTTTTTTTTTTTCCCCCTCCCTTCGGGGAAGTCAGGCTGTGACAAGAAAGGGAGAAGACAGCTACCCCAGGGCTGTGATTGTGCACGGGCAAAGAAGCAAATGATTCTAGTAGAGAGAAGACAGCGTGGCGGGGTGAAGGAAACATGCAAGTAGCTGAAGGAGGCAAGACGCCAGGATCCACGGCCGGTGGATGCCATTCGATAATGGAGAAAGGTTTGCAGTAGACTTTGCAAATTCTCTTGCCAGTGGAAGCCAGGCAGGGAACATAAAAGTAGAGAAACAGGTTGTATGTACAGAAACAGGACACAGAATGGGGAAGAGAGATAGAGAGGAGCAGGCAGAGAGCTGGGGACAAGGAAGAGCTTGGTAAGCTGGCGAGGATACTCTGTGCTGTACCAGCTACTACTCAGTTCTGATGGGCAGCCGCTCTGCTGTAACGGGAGGCTGCCAAACAATCGGATTTTCCCCGGAGAAGCCAGAAATGGAAAATTTCACCTCTATCCTCCCAATTTTTAAATACTGGCAACTAATTCAGATATTTCAAAGAGTCTGTGGACTGAGTCTGTTTGGACTGAGCGAGATAGGTTTGCCAGGCCACTTTTGGCCAGCCAGAAGCTGCAGTTGTTACTGGTGTGATTAGGGGTGTTGGGGGGCACTTAAACTTCTCAGTGAAGTAGCGCACGGCGGCTACAGATCCAGAACACGCAGACTTCCTGTCTTACCCAGCTTTGCAATGTATTGAAGGATAGAAGAACGAATCCAAGTGATTTGAATTAAGTTGCTTAAGAAAAAAAAAAAAACCCACTTTATGAAGAACCTAAAAAGCACTGAATTTGTTGGCTCATGTTATCTAAAAGCCTGTAGCATTTTTCTGTACTCAAGTGAAATGAGATTTTTTTTTCAAACACCATTAAAATATATCCTGATGTTTGAACTAAAAGGTTTCACTTCTCAAAGGGATTTGCTTTCAAATCACCCCTTTTCCCACCCTCAAAATTTATGCTGACTTTATATGGCTAAAATCTTTAGAGTGCCCCCATAACATACTGAAATGTGACTTTAGGGATAACATTTTTTCAAAAGTAATTCACATGCAGCAGACATGCATTAATTTTGAACTATAATTTCTTATGATTCCACACAAAAGAGAGTTTTAATTGAATGCTGAAACTGGTGTCTATAAGTTTGGAGTCTTTTCTCAAAATACTAGTCTGCATAACACAACTGAAGAAATAAATTATCTTAGTGTCTTTTATTCAGTATTGATGCTGGCAAAACAATATTGATACTGATGCCTGGTAATGGAGCAGTATGTGGAACCAATGAAATTAAATTATTTTAAAAGTAATAATAAATATGTGTTAATTATGTATGTGTCATGTATCTGTTATGGTCATGATCAATTCCTACTCTGAAACAATGCAAAATTATCTACTGTACTTCTTTATTTGTGAACACTTTCTCCTATATGAAAGTGTATTTCTATGTTCAACTTCAAGATTTTCTCTTTGTAATGAGAATATATTCTTCTACAAAGGATATCTTTATGTGTAAACACAAAATGTGAGTGTTGGTAGTCATGTAGGTCCTCTCAGACTTAGATCTTGATTTATTCTTCTCTTATTCCCTTAGTGCTCAGCATAGTATTTGGCAGAGAGTCTGATATTTTTCGGATATGAATCTCTACATCTCAATTAAATAAAATTATGCCTATTTTATGGAAAAAGAAAAAAAATACAAAACTAGCAACTTAAGGAATGTATTTCATTTCTGAATCTGCTGTCCAAAGAAACAGAAAACATTGATCTAGATTTAGTTTCCAATGTTATTTTTGAGATGGTATCTTCATATTCAAAAGATAAACATTTTTTTAAAAAGTAAACACTTCTGAATTGTGTCAATCAGAATTCCACAATTTGCCAGGTTTCCATGAACATACAAGTGATAAACTGCCTTCCCTTGCTTTCACTTACCTGGACATCTCCTTTTTAAACTTTATTCACTCTCTCTACCCTAATATATATCTTAATTTAACAAAGTTTCATCCTTGGTCCAGGATGATTACTTCCATTTTCTCTTGTTTTGCCTCAGTGTAATCATACATTCACAAATGGCTCATGGAACCAAAAATTAAAAAAACAAAAAACAAAAAACAAAACCCTGAAACATTGGGACTATAAATTTAAGGTGATGTGCAAATTAATTAATCCTTCATCAGTTTCACATAAAAAGATATATTGTAAAGAGTCATACATGGTAAAAATAAGCAAAACAGACAATTTTCTTTCTGGAACCTTCTATAAAAAAAGCCCCCAACCAAAGTCTACAATAGAAGAACTTTTGATTTACTTGACAAGAGATTTGGGCTTGATAAATCCTAGTCTTTTGAATACTTTATCCAATCAACCTTAAATTTTTCATCAATTAATTTCTTTAAAGGTTGTATGAACTACGAGGATTTAAAAAATTAACACATAGTAAAAGAACGTCTGCTTGACTATCAAATTTTGATATAAAATATTTAAGTCATTTCAAAAGAAATTCACATTTTCTTGTATCACGTACTGATTTTAATTATTTCTTTTTAGCAAACTCTCACCATTATCTATCTCTTTGAAACCTATGTATTAAGGTCCTCAAAAGAGTTCCCAACACTGTGGATTTTGATTTTAACTCCATGAATCATAAGACATTTTTCACTCTTTGCTGTGTTTCAAGATAATAGTTTCAAGTCACCTTTTAGATATTTTGCTAACATGACAAACACAATGTATGCGGTGATTGTGTTTTCATGAACTTACTCTTCTAAAAACAGTGATATTAGTTTATAACAAATAAGCAGATGAATCAAATGAATAGTTATTGTATTTGTGGATAAAGAATTTTCAATGCCCAGCACAGTGCTTGGGTGTATGCATAGCTTTCTCTCTCTCTCTCTCTCTCTCTATATATATATATACACACACACTCAATATATGCTCAATATATTATGTAGATGAATTATTTCATATCTAGTAAGTATTGAAGCTCTTTTTATTAATAACAAAGTACTTTACTGATTTTAGTCCATCCAAAATATTCAGCAAATTTTCCATAAAATTTTTGGTGTCATTCCTATTCCAGTTAGAAGCACTGACTTAGTAACACATTTTTGGCTCGATCAGCTCCATTCAATTAAATAACACCCATGGTAGTCTCTTCACATACCAAGTTTATGACTTTGACTATGGTTTTGACATCAGACTACTATCATGAAATCATAGTTGTATCTTAATTATTCTGACGCTGAAATAGCAAAGTGAGCTTTTTATATTAATGGGTCTGGAACACAAATAAAAAGTGGTCTTATAACTGCAGTGTGTATGATAAGCACTCTGAATGTTTTTCCTAGAGAAAAAGTTAGACTGTTATCAACAGAAATAAAGGTGGATAAATGACAGTATATATTCTTAAAACAGTTTATCTCAATCAACTAATTCTTATATGTTAACTCCTTAAAAATAATCAGTAACTTTACACATGATGCAGCTAGAAATTCTAGGCATTTACTTGCAATTGAAATCAAAATCATATAGAAAATATTGCTAAAATAAGCCATCTTGTCAAAACATCAAACTTTTTTCAGAATTACATTCTGTTCCTCAAACTCAATTTGGGAATTTTTTTTTTCCAGGAGGATTTCATGATTCCCAGATAACTTTTACCACAGGGACTAAAAATTCAAAATCTCTTCAAATTTAATTCAATTTTGGATTCTGAATAAATTTAGTCAGGGATGAATTGTAGCAGAGAAAAATATTTTACTTGGGGGAGAAATCTGTAAATATATTTTATATGAATCTCTGGCTGGAATAAAATCCCAGAAATGTACAGGCAACTTCAAACACTTTAGTAACTCCAGTTTACATTAAAATTATTTTTCATCATAATAATTTCATTAAAACTATTTTACCAAGTCAAAGTTCTGTAGAGATTACTCTGTTGTCTCTAACCCATTCTGTCAGCCATGTCTACCCAGCAAGGAAAGAGAGAGGATGCCAATTACAATTCAGATCTGCGTGCTGTGCTTTACTAAGTCAGTAGTGAAGACTTTAAAATGGACCCAATGGGCAGCTTATTACAATTAGAAAGGAGATCTCAAAAATCGCCTTTCAAAAATGATGTTATCTAGTTAAAAATGACATCTTAAAATGAGAAAACATCTTTCCATTGCATGGCAACTACAAAACATTCCAACTTATCAGCGACTAAAGAGGTCTATTTTTTTGTTGTTGTCATTTTCCCGACACACCTGATTTTATTTTAATATTTAACAATTCTAGGAATTCTCACAAATCCTGTGACTGAGAATATTTTGTTATAAGGAGAAACACGTAAGGGACAGTATTGTGAACATCTGAATGTCCTCCTGCAAGAGACGTTTTTACCTAAGCATACAGAAATGATACCCACGGCTGTGTGCACACACATTTTAAGTCTTCTGTGTATTCCCCAGGAGTTATTAAGGTATCTTTATAAGAGACCATTTTGACACAAGGTTTTGAGCTAGCAGATAAGCTCCCACATCAGCACTCCCCAGACACAAAGCTCCCGTTCAGAAGAGTAAGAGAAAGAAGCAACACTTACAGCACTTCCAAGTCCCGCAGAGCCCTAAATGCCCCATCTTCAATACAGCTGATCTGGTTGTAATCCAGTTGCCTGTAAACAGATTAGAAGAATATATGTAAAAGGCTGCAGACTAGCAGGGCTGGGTGAAAGGAAGTTCCCTGAAGGGTCTAGGAAGCCCTGGCTGGGAGAACTGAAATGCTCTCACAAATACACTCAACTCATCTGCTTAAGAATGTCACAAGCCATTCTCGCCTCGCTGGTGCCGCTACTGGGATCTCTTTTTGTTCTGAACTGGCTGTGCAAATAGCAGCCCTTGGAAAGCTCCAGTAAATAATAACTGCACCTTATATTAAATGCCATAGGAATGCAATTTCATTACATCAAGAAAAGCTATCCATTAAGAGCTTTCAGCGTCATCTTGCTGAAACAATTTCATTAAGGTAAAGGACTGTAAATCACTTAATGTCACATGCACCCCCTCAGTGACCTAACAGAATCCATTTATCAGAGAAGCCCAGCTGCATGTTAATTTCACTATCCTTGGCAAAAAAGAGCAAGACTACTTTTAGGTTTCTTTCTTTTAAAAGCAGTTTTCCTTCGAGAACTCCCAACAGCGAGAGAGAAATGAGGTCCCACGTACCTCCCTGCAATTCCCAACCAGGAATACTCTTTAGAAAGCGAGCCCTTGTTCCGTATTAAGCTTCGCTATTTCCATGATTTGCACCGTGTGTCATTATATGTGAATTCTTTGCACTGTAAATATGGCATACTTTCCAGTTAAAAAACTCCCCGAATTTCCAGAAAATAAGTTATAAAGCATTAGGAAATTAATCTTTTTGCTTTTCTCAAAGATGCTAATTTTAGCTGCAAATGCGAAGAATGCATACTGCAGCAACATCATTAAAACACTACATGTATCTATGGTAGAAAGTTTAAAAGCTTTATCAGTTCCTTCTAAATAGTACAAAATGCAAACAAATGAATCTTCTCTTGTAGTTTGAGCACTCATTTGTTACAATTCAAAGATGAAAAGACAAAGTTACTCCAAACTTGGTTAAGTCAGCTTTTTCCTGCCACTTATTTTGGAATTAAAATTTCCTTTATCCATGTTAAGGCATTTATTTGGTTGAAATAAACAGCTAAGTACTAAGTCTTATCTGTCCTATCTTTATCTTATTTTAAATTCTTTTTTTTAACAAATAAGCAGTTGTTGTTTAAGTCTAGTAGCTTGATGCTTAACGATATTATTATTCCAGTAAAGAAAAGTATTTTAATGCTTCACTTGAGACAGAAACAAAATGCTTGATGAAACAGTCAGGTGAGTTGTCATTTCTCCATGCACTGGGAGGGAATACAGATATACAGGGCTAATACTATGATCATAATACAAATGAATCCTGTCCTTGTTTCAAGTGCAAAATTCACCAAAAGGGCTAATTCACGTTTGAGGTATGTTCTTAAAGAATTGTTTCAACATTCCCATAAAATAACGATTTCTCTCACAAGGCTACTGAATAAAGGTGCAATGATTTAATCCAGTGACTTTCAGAGGGCCCTCTTCAAAATTCTTACTTTAGAAATTATGTACATAAAGAATGTCTCATGAAATATACATCTCATTTTTAAGAAGGTCTCTAGGGGACAGAGACTACCCTGATGTCATGCAAATGGTACAATCTAGGACATGCAACATTAAAAAAAGGCCAACTCTGGAGCAGATATGGTTTTATTGCTTTTATAGACTAAGGCTTTCCCCAAATAATAGGTGCCATCCATGCTACTGTAATAGCTTAAAGCATTTCTACTTATTAGGAAGTAATGCAGAAGGATAATTTTATTTTCTAAGAAGACTTTTAAAGCTTCATGATGTAATATGGCTGCTGTGGTTCCAAGAAAACACTTACATTCTTGAGCACTTTTGATTTTTACAGATTAAATTCATTTAACAATTAAGTTAACAGCCTTTTTATTTTAAAGTGCTAAATATATATCTACACTACTATTCTCTAACCTCTTGAACAATTTATCAAAGCCATTTAAATTAGTACAATGGCATGAAGTGTTACCCTTGACACACTACAAAAGAGAAATTGTTTCCAGACAAAATGGCAAAATCTTTTAATGCTATCAAATTTGCCTAATGCAGTCTCCAGGTTAATCTGTAAAAGGGTGAGCTGTATGTTTGCCCATATCTTATTATCCTTAGCTGTCAATGTATAAATCAGTGCTGACACTGCTTCTTTTAAATCATGCATACTATACACAAAAGGGAAGCCCTAGCATGCTAGAAAGCACTCAAGCAAATCCTGTTCTACAGGGACTGAAAACCAGATTACTTTCCCTATACCACCAGAAGTTGAGACACTGCTGGAAACTTGGTAATTTCACCCCTCTTCAACACTGCTCGTGCTTACATGCTTCTTCTGATTCTTAACAGAAATCTAAGTCCTTCTTGGTGCTAAAGCATTAAGAATATTTGGCTCTCATAGGACCAAAGTTTTCCTTAAAAGTTTTCTGAATGCCATCATGTCTCAGGACATCGATCTTCTGAAAATGAAGGTATTGTGTGAAAAAGTTACTTCTATGAAAGGGCAATCAAAATGAGTAACTTTTTCATCAACTGGTGGATTTCATTATATTGAAAGGAATGTTTAAGGAAAGTGTTGTGCCCACTTTGACCACTCATAAGAAAATCTCACTACACAAACCTCCATTTGTCTGTATATGGGTCAAGATAAAGAGTGTCAAAATCATGCAAAAGCATACTTTATTTCAGGGATTCTGGACTATTTTTCAGTACCTTGTTTCTCTCACCCAGTTCACTTCCTTCTCTACTACCTTTCCAAGCCCAGGCACTTCTGCTTTCTATAAACAGGAAAGGATCTGTTCTCAGCCATGCATTTAGTGACAGGCTGATTCTGTTTAGATGTGATTTCCAATCATACAATGAAATTATTCTGAATTAAGGCATTAGTAAGAGGAGAGTTTTTTTTTTTTCACTTCTCCAAAAAGTAATATTACATTTGTTCAGCCGAACATGGGGTAAATTTGTTGATCTTTGGATAATAAGGGCACTAAGATACATTAGGGACAGCTTCAGGATCCTCTCCTGGTACAGGGGTCACATCCCACGGGGAAGCAAGCTAGCACTTTTCTTATTTTCTGGAGAGAAAGTGTGGCATAGATGGTAGTATTGGCGACTTCTTTTAGACCTTCAGCCGACGTATCCTAGCACAGAATTTTGTGGCTTCTCTTCTCTATTTCCTACCTCCAACCTCCTCTGTTTCTGTTTGAGTTCCAAATTCCATCTCTATCTGATCCTTCACTGTCTTAGTTTGTAAGTGTGCATTCTGAAGCAAGTGCTTTATCTTTAATTTCATGAAATTGACGATATTAAAAAGAATAGAAACCTTCAAAGTCTCTTTCAGTATTAACATTCTATGATTCTCTTTTCATTGGTCACTACTTCTCTTATGTTGTTCTAGAATAACACTAGATTGCTCGTTTTAATTTTTCCTAGTCCTGGTGAATTTAGTCTTTGATAACGCAGCATCTCTTTATCAAGAGGTGTTGCTCTGAGCCTCGCAAACATGAAGTTTCTAAAGCAGATCTGATTTTCTTTAAGACAAAAAATGATTTAGCCTAGTTTCAGATTTTGATTAATTCTAGGTGTGAGAAACAATATATAATGCTGCTAAGTATAAATTTTAGAAATAAGCATATTAAGTAAAAGAAAGGTTGGGCATTTGCTTACTTGGTGTCCCGAAATATAATTGGAGATACTGCATTCTGTTACTTTTTCTGCTTTTTTCAGGGATTTCCTGTTTTCAGTTATTAAAATTTGGATACATACTGTGTTTGAATTACATATATAAAACTCACCTTCCTGAATTAACTTCATTTGGTTTTGCCCTTACCCATAGAAAATTCATGTTGCACTGCGGGGTCCAAGTAATAAGATCTTATTCCAACTGATTTTCTTTTTGTAAGTATTAGAACGCCATAAAATTTACTTAGCTCTGAAACAATACTGAATATAAAAAGTCTTTAATAACTTTAAAGCCAGGGGCACCTGGGTGGCTCAGTCGGTTAAGCGTCTCACTCTTGGTTTTAGCTCAGGTCATGATCTCAGGGTCGTGAGATTGAGCCAGTGTTGGGCTCCGAGCTCAATGTGGAGTCCGCATGAGATTCTCTCCCTCTTCCTCTCCCTCCCTCTCTGCTCCTTTCCCCACTTTGTGCTCTCTCTCTCTAAAATAAATAAATAAAATCTTAAAAAAATAACTTTAAAGCCAGACAGTCTCTCAGTATTTCAGCAAAAGTATTATAACTATGCTCTGGTTCTCCAGGGTTTTTTAGGTACTAGAAATAGAAGTTTAGTTCATATTCATATTACTATAAATGGCAAACTCCAAAAGTTTAGTTGACTTAAAATAATATATCAAAGTGATTAGAATCAATAGGAGGAGTAACAACATTTTGCCATTTGGAAAGAACCCTGGTAAAACATATAAGTCAGATGGGAGAAAAAAATGTTGTTAAGGATATGGGCATAATCTGTTCTATTTCTTCCCTTGTGTGTATAAAATTCAAGTCAATACGAGTGCATAAATACACAAATCTTATGCCAATAATGACTCTTTAAGAAGAAGTACAAGATTTAAGTTATAATGGATAAAGAACATAAGAATAATATAAATTGACCCATATGAATGAACACCCTAGGCCGAAGTTTCAGCAAGCATGTCATTTAACCTCAGCATAAAAACACATAGGCGCTAACCCAGGTATGAGTGAATGAAACAGCCAAAGTAAGGACTATCCCCTGAGGAATGCAAAATAATTTATTTGAGAATTTAGCCCTTTTGCAATCTTTCAATCAAAATGTTGTGGGTTTTGTTTTTTGTTTTCTGTTTTGTTTTTTGTTTTTGCATAGGAATAAAGAATCTCAGTTTTTATTGGAATAATCTATGGTATAAAGTTATATCCACTTGCTAATTTATTAGGGAAAAGCCAAAGGGTAAGCCCTAAGAGACACGGTACCAGAAAATGGAGGAACAACAATTAAGTAGTCCTTCATGTTCTAGTAGCTC